ATCCCCATCATGGGTTAGCTCAGAGTGTAAGGGCCGAGTCAGAAGACGGCATCCCCATCATTAAAAGTCCTTGGAACCAGCCATGCCTGAAGCATCCTTGGATTTGCCTTCATGAGTCAACATGTTTCCTTTCATGACTGAATTTCTGTCACTGGCAGTGAGAAGCCTCACTTAATTCTGGTCTCCAGACTATAACCGTACAATCTGTCCACGCCCCTGGGTCAGTCTTACGCAGACCACGGTTTTTACAACTACCACCCGTGCCTTCCGCCTTCACCATCCCATCTTCCTCTGTAAGAGTGGTTCTCCACCTTCCTAATGCTGGGACCCTTTGATACAGTTCCTCGTGTCTTGGAGACCTCCAACCATAAACTCATTTCACTGCTACTTCCTAACTGTAATCTTGCTACTGTTAGGAACCATCATGTGAATATCTGATAGGATGTCTGATACGCAGCCCTTGGCGGAGGGGCCGACCAACCCCCAAAAGAGTGAAGGCCCACAGGTTGAGAACGGCTGCTCTCTGGGGAGAGCTGCAGAGAACTTACACTTCCGGACAAAGTTGCTCACGTGCTTGATCTTCATTAGGGCGGGCTGGCTGCACTCTTCGAAGAGAACCAACAGGGCATCCAGCATCCCTTCCCGGGAGAGAGCGGACATCTGCTGTTGAGTCACGAGGGGCGGTTTCCCCTAAAAATGGCAAACAGCAGATGGAGATTTCTGTCAATAATGAAAGCTTTGATCAATAACATCCACGGAGTAAATCACAACCGGCCGACTCCATTGAACTGCTCCCGGCACACTGGCACCGGTTCTGGGGCCGTTCAGTGATTACCCAAGTGGCTCCATTGCTGGTGATAATTCACCTGAATCTGGGGAAATAAAAATAGTCCCAACAGCACCGCCCCTGGGTCATTCCTTCGTCCAGCCTGAGCTTCGTCGGAACGTTTGGAGCTGCGGACCCTACGAGTTCAGAGATGGCACCATATCTCTTCCATACGAAACTGGGACCGACATGCCTTCCCTGTGTGGCTGGAGGATGGCAGATACAACTTCAGCCTCTTTAATTCAAGTAGAATTCAAGTAGGAATGGATGCCTACCGTGACGCCAAATTTATTCATGATCTGTGGGATCGGTTACAGATTCGCAGACTGTGTCTACCCCACAAACATGTTTTGTTTGGCTCAAAGTATTTAAAATAATTTGAATTATCTGCCAATATTTTTAAATCAGTAGATTTTACACACACACACACACACCAGAATGTCTCTCTTCCTGGAACTCTAGCGGATCTAACAATATTGCCCTCTGTTCGGAGAGACCATGATACAATAGGAGCTGAGATCTCCCTCTTGGCGAGTGCCAGAGATCACTGCAGACTTGACTTCCTGTCTTCTGTCTGGACTCTCAAGACCCAAATTGGGAACCCAAGTTTAGGGCAACAATTCCCATGTGAGGCTGTAGACTGTGGGGAAAATCTCTGTAAAAACAGCTACAGGTAGAAGGCACAGAAAGTAGATTTTCATGACTCCAGGGGCTGGGGAAAAGTGCCCATCACACAAGAGTATAAGGACCTGAGTTCAGATCCCCAAAACCTCCATAAAATATCTAGGCATAGTGGCAAGTGCCTGTCACCCCGACAATGGGAGGTGAGACGTGGATTCCTGAAGTCCACTGTCCAGTTCATCTAGCTGAATGGGTGACCTTCAGTGAGAGAGCCTGTCTCAAAAGATTACAGTGGAGATCAACCAAGAAAATACAGTGAGTGCCTACAGCTGGCCCACACACGCACACAATTTCAGAGCAGCCAGGCTTGGTGACGCACGCTGATAACCCTAGCATATGGGAAGCTGAGGCAGGATTATGAGTTCAAAAGAAACCTGGTGGCAGACTCTTTCTCGCGGGTCACATCGCCCTTCAGTGCCTACGATCTCCATGTACCCATGACATGTCTGAGACTCCACTTCAACGGCAGAGAGAAACCCAAACTGCTCTGCGCCGGTCAGGGTACAACAGCCTTTCCGGGAAGGCAGCTGCCACGCACGTGAGTTTAAAGGTTCGGCAAACTGCAGACCCTGAGCCAACCAAGGCCGGGCTGCGTGAATTTTAAACAGAGTTCGGTTGGAGCCCAGTCACGCCCACTCATTTACATAACATTAGGGACGCACTAGGTGCTACAGTGGTGAAGTTGAACACCTGCCACCAATGACCCACAGAGTGGAAAACCTTTTATTATTTGAAAAAAAAATGTAGCCTAGGAAATGACTAAATAAATGAAAACATACAAAGGCCACATAAGGGCGGGGGAACGGCACAGATGGTAAAAGTGCTTGCCGTGAGATTGCGGAGAAGCCAGAGGGCCTGAATTTGATGCCCGGAATCCGCATAAAAAGCCAGATCTGGAGGCACATCTGCAACCCTAGCACTCCTAATTCAAAATGAGAGGCAGAGGCAAGAAAATCTCAAGAAGTCTGTAGGCCCGCCGGCCAGGAAGATCACGTGGACAAAAACCCTGCCTCAAAATAAGGTGAGGACTCCAGACTCATGAAAATTGCAACGTGATATCCACACACATGCAAAAGCACGCCCACGCATGCGCACATGCCCACACCCGCCCATGCCACACCCACAGTCACGCAAGCATGTGAGCACACAAAAATAATAATGAACTAAATTTAAACAAACAGTGTCTTAGTGAGCAGTCAGTGCCCATATTCTACTGCCCCAGATGTAGACCCAGTAACCCCAGCTGATCCCACAGGGTGGAGTAGAGCCACCCACTGAAGAATAGCCAACCTGCTGGGGTGGGTTCGTTTGCTCGTTTGTTTGCTGGTTTGTTTTGGGACAGGGTCTCATTGGGGGTGGGAGGGGCATTGGTTTTTTTTGGTTTGAGTTTGTTTTTTTGTTTTTTGTATCCCTGACTGTTCTAGAACTCACTATATAAACCAGGTTGGCCTTCAACTCAAAGAGATCCACCTGCCTCTGCCTCTCAAGAGCTGGGATTAAAGGTGTGTACTTCTGGGCCTGTGAGCGACCTGCAGAATGCTGGGAAGAAAGAAAGCTGTTGCTCCTTTAAGTCTTGGTAAGGGCTCGTTACACAACCCTGGGCAGCACAAAAGAGCAGCTGCGTGTGAATCACTAGAGAGGCACAAAAGAACAGATTCTCTGGCCCCATTACCAACCTCCTGAATTAAACTTTCTGGGTTGCAGCTTAGGAGCGATTTTAACAAGTTCACAGCGAGACTCAGTCAAGCTTGGGGGCCGCCGAGCCTGTCCCTTCGGAAGATGAGCCTCATTTCTTTCTCTGTTCACCTGAGAGTCAACTCAAGCAGACGAGGGGGGGGGGTCCCAGAGACTCGACGAGGCTTAGGCTCAGAGCACCCCAGAGCACGCCCAAAAGCCTCAGGGGACTCAACCTTGAAAAGGGGCCCTTCATTCTGATGAGTGTTCTCACTTTCTCCATGGTTCTTAAGATGCCCTTTCTTTAGGAAATGAAAAGACCAGAAAGTAATAGCTTTTTTTTTCCCTCTCATTTGTTTTCCACATCCTTGCTTGGCAAAATAAAAAGCTGGCAAGGCCTGGGCCGCCTGGTGATTTGTGAGATTTCTGGGGCTCTGGAAGTCTGCCAAGCACCGAAACACAAGTGTCCTGAGTAGGAGGCAGACACCCCGACTGAGATCCAGTCTAAGGACGTACCTCAATAGAAAACAAACCAGCTACAGTTACCTGACCCTCAGGTGACAGCCCTGAGTGGGGGGAGCACAGTAGCCTCGGCTGGAGCATGAGGCTGAGGTCAGGTGTACCAGGACACTCTGCCACAACCTGCTCCCTCTTGCAGGGAGCACTCATTGCTACCATCTGCATGGGGTTTATCCTCCAAGGGTTCACTTGCCGTAAGCTTGGACCCCAGGGTCAAAGTTGTGAAGGCTTTAAAAGGTGGAGGTGAGACATTGTAGAGGGTTATCTGGTCGCCAAGACAAAATGCTTTTCTTAACCTCAGGAGCTGAGAGCAGGGTGTCGGGAAGGGAGTAGGCCTGGTCTCTTACCGCCTCTCTGGCCCACGTGATCTCTGCACATTCCCCAGGCCAGTGCGGTAACATTGTAACCAGGCCCTGAGCCCAGCCAAGAGGAAGCCATTGGTGTACTAGAGGGTGCAGGACTGTGACCTATGGAAACCTCTTTTGTTTATAAAAGTACACACCCTCTGGCATGTTGTTATCGCAATATAAAACCAACTAAGGTCACTCGACATTAAAAAGGGATGTAATGGAAATGTCCTGGGTGTTTTTCTAGTGTTTTTCTAATGCTGCGGAAGAACCTCATGACCTTGGGCAGGAAAGGGTTAATTTCCGTTTACAACTTACAGCCCACCGTGAAGGCAAGTCAGAGCGGAAATGAACTAGAGAACTGTCTGGAAATACTTTCATGACATTGGTCTTTATAGAAGACTGAAGGAACTGCCGGTCCTGAATGAAGAATGCAGGCGTGGTATTTAACTACAGAGCACGAGAGCCACCAGGTGTGGTGGCACATGCCCGCCCTTAACCCCAGCACTTGGGAGGCAGGCAGGTGGAGCTCTGTGATTTTTGAGGCCAACCTAGTCTACATATTGAGTGTTAGGACAGCCAGAGCCATGTCTCAAAAAGAAAAAAAGACAGACAGACAGACAGACAGACAGACAGGAAGGAAGGAAGGAAGGAAGGAAGGAAGGAAGGAAGGAAGGAAGGAAGAAAGAAAGAAAGAAAGAGGAAGGGAAGGAGGGAGGGAGGGAGGGAGGAAGAAAGGAAAGAAAGAAAGAAAGAAAGAAAGAAAGAAAGAAAGAAAGAAAGAGGAAGGAAGGAAGGAAGGAAGAAAGAAAGAAAGAAAGAAAGAAAGAAAGAAAGAAAGAAAGAAAGAAAGAAAGAAAGGAAGGAAGGATATCCCTCGTATGAAGTGAAAGCATTCCACAGTGGGGCTGAAGGGATGGCTCATGGTTAAGAGTACTCGTTCACTACTCTATCAGGGGACCACCGTCTGGATCCCAGCGTCGACACAGGCAGCTCACAAACACCTGTAACACCGGCTCCCACGTCCAAAAGATCCAAAGCTAGTTTCTAGTCTTTCTGGGTACCCAGACACAGCACAACACAGACGGACACATGCGCATGTGCACGCACGAGCGCGAGCACACACACACACACACACCCCAGAGACACCAGAGACAATTTTAGTTTCTTCCACTGAAAGAAACAAAGTTCAGAAATGTGAAGTGTTAGCACTTCTGTCTAAACTCCGTCCCCACCATTACCTGGCAACAGCCAGGTATGCTCCTCCCCACAGTTACCTGGCAACAGCCAGGTAGGCCTGCCCACTATAAAAGGGGCTGCTTGCCCCCCTCCTTGCTCTCTAGCCTTCTTGCTCCCCCTCTGTCCCCTCACCCCTTCCTCCTTCCCTTCTCCCTCTCTCCACGTGCTCATGGCCGGCCTCTACCTCTCTCTACCTCTCTTTCTCTCTCCCTCTCTCTCTCTCTGCCTCTACTACCCTCTTAACTCCCCTCCCCATGCCCTGAATAAACTCTATTCTATGCTATACTGTCGTGCGGCTGGTCCCTCAGGGGGAAGAGATACCTCGACATGGGCGAACTGAGACATCCCCTTCCCCCATTCCTCACCACACACCCACAGATCATATCCTATATCTCTTTATCTTTTTATAAACACATCGTGAAGGATGAGAAATGAGGGGATGCCCCAAGGGCACGTCCAGCCGCATAACGGTCAGCCCAGTGGCACCTCTCTGTCCAGCTCAGGCAGGACATGTAAAAAGACAAACGGGATTGCCCTAAGAGTATTAGCCTCCGTCCATAAGACAACCAAAGGCGGTTACCACGGCAGCCCCAGGTGTGCATCGTTGGCAGGCAGCTTCTTACCTGGAAGAAGAGATTTAGCCTGGAGGCCCGACTGGCAACGGGCTCGGGGGCACTGGCCTCCGACGGGTTGCGCAATCCGTACTTGAACTTCAACATCTTTCCGCCAGCGCTGAAGGAACATTGGGAAAAGTCAAGTGGGTACTGACATTTAAGGCAGGAAGGGCTTGGCAGAGTCGTGTCTCCCTAAAGAGATCAGGACGAGGAAGCCACTTCCAGCCTCCACAGCGGTCGGCAGGCACATGGTGCATAGACACGTGAAGGCAAAACTAGTCACACACATAAAGAATAGAAATAAATCATTTCCAAAAGAACTAACAGCCGCCATCGATGGACTAGCAGACGGTAGCCTGTAAACCAGGCTAATAAATCTCCACTTACTCTTTCCTTCCTACCAACTCTGCTCCCCTAGAGAACCCTGACGAAACCAAACCTCTGATACCTCACAGCTAAACAGATGTAACCTGTGAACCAAGGCCTGAAGGGTTTGATCAGTGAGCCTTGAAGATTATCCCAGGGAGAGAAAAGTGCACTGTCCTTGGAGTGTACAGAGGTCAACAGTCCTGGGGAAGGTCGCCTGGCTGACCAGAAAGGCAAGAGGGGGCTACAACAGGGAGGAGGACACAAGAAGGAGGCGCTGGGTTGGCACGGAATAGAACGAAGACACTGGAACAGAGAGGTTAAGGGAGTGAGTTAACACCACACAGATAATGGGAAGTGGTGGCGCACGCCCTTAATCCCAGCACTTGGGAGGCAGAGGCAGGAGGATTTCTGAGTTCGAGGCCAGCCTGGTCTACAGAGTGAGTTCCAGGACAGCCAGGGCTATACAGAGAAGCCCTGTCTCGAAAATTTAAAAAAAAAAAAAAAAAAAAAAAGAAAGAAAAAAGAAAAGAAACAAACAAACAAAAAAAGATCACACAGATAATGGGAAGTGCCATGGGCAAGAATACAGGTAAGGCTTACAGGAGACAGGAGACTGGTCCTCAGGGGAGTCGGTCCTTTTTAAGGAGCCCTGGGCCTCCTGTAGCACACTCGGGGGCACACACACCCTGCCTCAGACTCCAGGCTTCCCCCAGGACACCCCAAGGCTACACCACAGACACAGGATCGAACCCATTGCTCCCCCAAGGAGGGCACCCACAGACCCCGGGCTACCCTAACACACACCAGGCTGCACCACAGCAGACCCTCAGGGGTCCCCCTGCTATCCTGAGGCCTTGGGTGGGAAAGTGAGCATCGGTATGGGCGGGGCCGGCCGGGGAGACCCGGGAAAGGGGACTCCCCCCTGTCCCCCGAGCCTCTCCAATCCCCCAACACTGCCACACACAACCCGGACTCACACTCCGCAGACCCCCCGACTTACGCTCGCCTCGCTCCGCTCCGCCCTGAGTCTCCCGCCCCAGCGTTTGAAGGAAACGACGTGGGCAGGGCTCAGCCCGGCCTAAACCAATCAGCGCTCGCCATCCTCTGATGGACAGCGAGGGGTCTCCTCCAGGGCCCGCCCAGGTCTTGGAGGCTGGAGGAAGTGAAATGGGAGAGCCAATCACATTGTTTCTTCCTTTGACTGGCGACCAATAGGAAGAGGGCAAGGGCGTTTGGGCGGGGCTGGGCTGGGAAGTTTGAAATTGGCGGTTTGTAGGATGCTGTGTGTGGAGATGGGGGCCCTTGCGGAGTCTGGGGCGCTGTCCCTTGCTGTCCGAGCTCCTGCGGGGAGCTCTGCCCGGACCGCCCGCCTCAGATAAGGATGCTAGGAGCCAAACTCCAGCCCTCTGCAGGAATGCACTCAACTGAGCCATCGCCCACGCCTCATGTAGGCGGCCGGGTTATGTGCGGGAATCAGGAGGCTGTGCGGTGCAGCTGAGGCAGGGGAATGTTCGGCACCCACTCCTGCCTGCGAGCCTTATACTTCTGGGTTGAGCCGCAACAAGATCGTAAAGATCTCACCACAAAGAAATATTCAAGTAAATTTAAGCCAGGATCACTAAGCCACCCTCTTTTCCCAATGAGAAAGCCCAGTGGCTTTCAGTGTGTGGAAACTGCCCGGCCTCGTTAGCAATGGAGGGGAAGGTGTCTGTGAAGAGGCGACGCTGTTTACATTCACACAGGGGTAGAGTGTAAACTGACCTGTGAAGGGGCAATCTCCGAAAAGGAGTGTAGTATTTGCTAACACTGAGGCTCGCTGCACTCTAGGGCTACTAGGGATGGCTTCTCTACAATAATTATGTAACGGTGGAACGCACGCAAGAGAGCAAGCTCGAAATAGCTGGGGAGATGGCTCAACGACTCTTCCAGGGGACCTTCCTTTGGTTCCCAGCATCCACCCCAAAGCCCTCACAACTTCCTGTAACTCCGGTTCCAAAAGATCAGATGACCTTTTCCGACCTCTACCGGGCACCTGAACATGAGTGCGCCTGCACACACACACACACACACACACACACACTTAAAAGAGACAGAGGTGTAAAAAATCAAGACAGCAAAATCAGGAAAAAAGGCACCTGGGGTCAGAAATGGAGGCTTTTGAAGGGACCATGAGAAAGACAGTGACTTTTTTCTTGACCCAATGAAAATATAGATTTGGGGGGGGGGGTGGATGTAGGGGGGGGGAGGGGCTGATTTTTGAAACAAAAAAGGAAGGGAAGGAGGGAGGGAAACTGAGTCATGCACCAGTAAGTGCTGGGTATGAGCTGGGCTCTTTCATTTTAAAGTTATTTATTTATTTATTTATTTATTTATTTATTTATTTATTTATAGTTTTGAAGACAGACTTTCTCTGTCCTGGAACTCCATGATCAAACTGGCCTTTTAACTCAAGAGATCTGGCTCCCTCTGCCTCCTGGGTGCTGGGATTTTGGCTACGGCACCAAGGCCTGGCTCTAGACCCTATTTTATAACCACCAAATTGTAATGTCTTCTGCTTTTCTCTAACCCAGTCCCTGGCACATACTAGATATTTATGAGTATGTTCAGGCTAAAAAAAAACAGACTGTGACAGCATGCTTGTCTGATCACAATTTGGCTTTCTCATACAGATACACCTAGAGCATCGGTATCCACCCTTGGGACCACCAGAGGAGGTACTACTAACAGGTGGGCCAGTGAGATGGCTAAGCTTGTAAAGGGGTCTGCAGCCAAGCCTTGTGAACTGAGTTCAATCCTCAAGACACACACACGGTGGAATAGAGAACCGGTTCTCACCAGTTGTCCTCTGCTCTCTATGTGCCTGTCATGCTATGCTCCCCTGGGCACGCTTGCACACACGGGGAAAATGTAAATAAAAGTTAAAAATGTAAAACAAAACACAGGAGCCTCCCCAGCTCGTTTCCCTGACGGAGGATCTAGACTTGGGGTATTTTAAAAGCCCCCCAAGTGGTTCCAGGGTGTAACGTGCGCGCCATCCTGAGGAAGGGAATGCCAAGAAAGCAGATGCGCTGCTAGCCTGGCAGCAGGAGATACTTCGATCTGTTTGCGCGCGTGATGCTAAAGAGTGAACCGAGGAGTCCATGCCCACTGCGCATGCTCCGTCCCAGACTCACTGTAAATTAATACCCTGCCAATCAGGTTTCATCAACAATCTTTATTATGGAGAGTCTTCTCTGGAGGGAGAACCCACTCTAAAGCTGGCTCGGTTGCAAAATCACCTAAACACTTCGAGCTTTCTAGCTCCTGTCCTGAGCTTCCGCTAGGATGAAATCGAGGGAAGGGGATGGCCAGGTAATGTAAGGAACCAGGAACTCAGACTATACCTCCATGATGTTGTCAGTGCTGATCAAATGTGAGCCAAGCTCTGGGTCTGACCTTCAGCACCATGGTAACCAGTGCCAGACATGGTGGTGCACACCTTTAATTCCAACATTCTGGAGACCAGAGACAGGCAGATTTCTGAGTTCAAGGCCAGCCTGATCTACAAAGGGAGTTTCTGGATGTAGCTGTCAGATCCCCTGGAACCGGAGTTACAGGTGGTTGGGAGCTTCCATCTGGGTGCTGGTGAGAGGCCAAATCTTTTACATTCTGACTCCATTTTAGAGAACCTGACCTAAGTGTGAACTCTGGTAAACTAACAGGCCAGTACCCAGCATTAGTTTCCAAGTTACCCCCCCCCCAACAAACCCCTGAACCTAGCTCCAGTGTCTAGGCTCACCCACAAAAAGGCTTACATCGCCGGGCGGTGGTGGCGCACGCCTTTAATCCCAGCACTTGGGAGGCAGAGGCAGGAGGATTTCTGAGTTCGAGGCCAGCCTGGTCTACAGAGTGAGTTCCAGGACAGCCCGGGCTACACAGAAAAACCCTGTCTCGAAAAACCAAAAAAAAACAAAAAACAAAAAGGCTTACATCTCCAGGTTACACCCCCAACAAGACCAGCGTCTCCAGGCTATTCTCTCAAAAAACCTGTGCCCCCAGGTCACAAGCCCCCTACCTAATGACCACCAATGCAGAGGAAAGCAGAAAACAAGTTTATGATATGACTCCCAGCACCAGCCAATTATGTTAAAGACCATAATAACTTCCCAATTTGATGCTTGCATACTCATCCCCACCACTAAGCCTTGCCCCCCCCAGTAGATATTCATCACCAAAACTATCCTGCTTGATGGTGCACTGAGAAGCCCAAGCTAGCTCGAATAAAAAGGCCCCACTGTGATTGCATCCAATTGGCTCCTGTCTGTTTTGGGGGATCACTAACATTTCCCTGACACTACACTGGCAGCTGAGCCCAGGTCCTCTGCAAGAGCAGATACTTTTCTGTTGCCTTGCTTAAACACCAAGCCAGAAGTAACTTACAGAAAAAAAGAGCTTATCTGAGCCTATGGTTCCAGAGGGAAAAGGACCCACCGTGACTGGGAGAAATGGCAGCCAGCATGAAACAGAGCAGGAACTCCAAACGGTAAGAGACTTTTAACTCAGGCTGGAGAACTGGCTCAGTGGTTTAGAGCACCATCTGCTCTTCCAGAGGTACTGAGTTCAATTCCCAGCAACCACAGGGTGGCTCACAACCATCTGTAATGAGATCTGATGCCCTCTTCTGGTGTGTCTGAAGATAGTGACAGTGTACTCAAATAAAATAAATCTTGAGAGAGAGAGAGAGAGAGAGAGAGAGAGAGAGA